TTTTATAGTTTTATAGTTTTAAAGTTTATAATTTAAATTTAAATTTTCAAACTTTTAAGTGTGAAATTTAAACTTTTTATAGTTTTAAAGTTTGAACTTTGAATTTAAATTTTCAAACTTTTAAATTGTGAAATTTAAACTTTTATACTTTTAAAAGTTTGAAAGTTTGTATTTAAAACTTTAAAAGTATAAATATTTAAGTGTAATGTTCCTAATTTTTTAATTTTAATAAAAAAATTATAATTTTAACGGTTGGACCCGGTTTCCGGTCCGGGACGGGGACACGGATTTTTTTCCGGAATTACCGGTTCCGGTCCGTCCCGGTTCCGGTTCGGTTCCGGCCCGTGGTGCCCGGTTCCGTTCCGGTTCCGGAACGTCCCGGTTCGGTAGTCCCGTTACCGGTTCCGTTGCCACCCTTACTCACCGCGTGCATTGAAACATACCTATAATATATTGAATTCAAATTGTATTATAATTGTTGCTTAACTTTTTTCTTCTCATAACAAAGACACCTGATGAAAAGGAGAACATTAAGATGGAACACAAGACTTCCATCAGCACAACAAGAAGGCAAATATTACAAGAATAAACAAAATAATCAGCCACCAACAGCACACTGGACAACTACAACAATCAGAGGTTTAAAAAAATAAGAATGCCAAGAGCAGCGCATGTATCATATTCTATATAGCTTGTTGGAAGTATAATTTACATTCAGGCAAGGCTTCCAAGAAACTCGAAATCAGTTCTGGTGGCAACTGTAGCCGTAAAAGCACTTGGTGATATCTTTCAATTACCAAAAGCACAGTGTTCTCCAGATCCACATCTTCCAAACAACCTGGAGTAATTGAATAAATATGAGGGGAAAGCAAAGCAATTCTTAGAAAATGAACATCAATATTGAAGATATTAAACACATAAAGGCAGTAAAAGAAGATGCAACTATTCAAGTAAAGTCAACTAGGATGTATTTATCCTAATTTAATTGTGATATCTGAGCTGAATGGATATAAACGATGCATGTGGCCATAAGCCAACTCCAACATAAGATTGAGGTATACTTTATTGATTGAAATTTGAGAGAAAAGACATCAGTGCTGAAGTAGAAATTGTTGTTTAAATGTGACAACCCACAGAAGATAGTGTCAACTTGACATCTAAGTCTGTTTGCTACATTTAGGCAATTTAAGATTCCAAACTTTGACAAGCAGATCATCTCATCCCAAGATAAAATCATTAGGATTCCAAAGTAAGCAAAATCATGTTTTTTTATTTTTGTAAGTTAAAGAAATGAAAAAGTTTGAGTGATTTCTCCTTTAAAACAGCTAGAAGAGATTAATTTTCTTTATTTCTATAAACAGTTCAAGTAGGTAATATTTTTCCACCCTGCACATCAAATGTTCAAACGTCTGGTGTTTTGAAAAATGAGAGCATTGGCAGGCTTACCCAGTTCAATTTCTAGCTCTTGATCTTCCGCATCACCTTCTTCCACAATGGTTCCATTTTCCATTTCCGCGGCTGTCTTGGCACACCTCTCCAAGAACTCTTGTTCAGTTTCTTCTCGTTCATCATCTTCAGAGTCCTAGCATTGAATTAAGAACAATAACAATCAGCGTTCATTATTCCAAAGGTATTAATGTACATTTACATGATGAATGTAGTCACTTTGCACGCAGGAGATTCGGGGTTTGTGTTCCACATCTCCATTTTACTTATCAGGAAAAGGAATATATGATGAATGCATAGCATTTGCACTCTTCCCCATCCTTCCACCACAAGCATTTCATGTATGTATGACAGAGCCAACAAACAAAAACCATGGATAATGATGCAAAAAGACAACAATATGGCAGGCGTCATCAACAATTTCCTGTGATATTATATCTTTTCTTTTAAGAAAATTCCTGTAATTATTATATATAAACATTGACTATTTTAACTAGAGAAGGTGGTTATGAAAAAAGAAACAGGCTCTGATAATCATTGTTTTCAAGTCGCAGTGTGTTTTTTTATGAAAAGAAAAATGTGTTACCATCAAGAAAGCTGGTGAAATGTGCGAAAATTTCAACTTACATGGAAGGACCACAATTAAGTTAAGAGCCATAATTTGCTAATGAGACAAAGCTCATGTCAGAAGGCTAAGGAATTATCGTGAACGCAAAGACTCATTAGTCACTATTATTTCACTAACCCAAAAAATGGAGTATAATGTATGTTCTACAAATAGAACACACTTGGCCATAACGAAAAGTAGGCCGTACGAACATGATTACCATGTAACAATGTCTACCTGACAGCCAAAAAAATATGTGGGTGGGGGAGGGGGAAGCTAAAGATAATTAAACAAGACAGAATTAGTTCAGTGACCTAACCTCATCATCATCATCTTCAGTTTCCTCATCACCAGAAGCCTGATCTTCACTTTCTTCATCTTCATCTTCCTCTTCTTCTTCCAGTTCTTTAAACTTCAGAAATGCCTCCATCAGTGATGCAACGCAATCATGTAGCAATAAACTCCCTTCATTTTGCCGTCCTATCAGCTTGTCAAGAGATTGTGCCAGTGCCATCACTGGTAAAATTATAATAGAAAAAAACAGACATAAGGAGATGGTGCTGATGAGATTCTTAGGAGAGTTTTCTACACCCAATAAGAGAAGAAAAATTGAATACTTAAAAGGCAAAGCAAGGAAAAACACAAAAGTTAACCACAAGGTATAATCAAAATTAGTGTTAGCTTGCAATCTATTAACAAGCATCGTAGTTGTGGACAGATAAACAGATCTAGATAGACACAATAGCATTTCCAGAACAAACAAAAAGGACTAACGTAGAGCCCATCACCAAAATATCCCTTGCCCCATGAGAGAAAGTCAAGTGGGGAAGTTCCTAATTGCGCTAAAAATTTAAGAAGTAGTAGGGGAAAAAGAAATAGAATACTAACCTACCAACTTGATCTCAGCCTCTGATGACAAACTATGGTCAAATCTGCTTGTTGAGATAATTGCCAAAGCGGATAGGAAGCTTGTAAAGCCTTCATGCTCAATGCCCTCTATAATCTTCTCTACAATATCAGGAAAACACAAATAACACGACGCTATTGCAAGCAACAAAGGATTCCATAGTGGGACAGGCTGGTTTTTAATCTCTCTAAAACGAGAAAATGCTGCCTGACACAAGGAAATCACCAAAGATTGCTTGACACCTTCTCCTTCAGGTAAGTAACTGGGATTATGTAACAGAATGTGGACACAAGAGGATGCCCTCCATACTGCAGATGGATATTGTGAGAAAGCTTCGGTAATGAATGCACCAATTCCTTCAAGGATGGATTTTTGGGGAACAGGTGGAGCAGGAGGCAACGGCAGCTTCCCCACAAGAAAGTTCTTCACAGCAAATTTCTTGTTTAGGCTAACTGCTTTCTTGATACAGTTAAAAGCTGATAAATCCTCCATCTCCTCCCATGCATGCCAGTCAGCTATGAGATATGACCAGACCAGCATCAGCTCTGAGACTTTTAGCTTCAAAAGATCGTCAGCTTGGGTAATTCCTTGCAAAATGAAACCAAGCAATGTGGAGCAGTCATCAACACATGATGAAGGGGGCACTGAGAAGGCAACCTCATGTTCCTGATAATTGGAAAATATATATGAGAAGATAACAAGAGATTTGAGTATATCAAAACCAAAAGATATATTAAAATCCTCTTATCACTCTGTTATCCCAAGTTGAATCTATGAAACGGAGACCTCTATCTTCTTAATCTTTAGAGTAGATATTATATATAGGATGATCTGTACACTCTGGTACCCAATACAGAGGCAATACGAATAGGAATGTTGACGGCGACCAGTTAAGTATCAGTTGAATTTAACTCGGGTTCTTGTTGGTGGAGGAACTGAATCAAAAAGAGAGACTCTAGCTGTAAGATATCTACTGGAAGCATCGCCAAAATGGACATCTTATTCGAAGAGAAAGATCTAAAGTATCTGGATTACTTTGTGTGTATGATCGAAGATCCAGTAGGTAGTCACTCCCTTCTCAGAGAACCGTACGTGAGTCTTCCGCCTCATACAGCTCTGTCCGAGCTTCCATCAATATATGAACAGCTTTGCCTTATGCATGAGAAGCTAAAAGACTTGATCTAGTTAAGCTTGGTATGGAATTCAGAACACAAAACAAACATCTATTGCAGTATAAACACTAGAGTTAAGCAGCATCCACTACTAAGGTGATTGCATTTTCAATATAGAAAAATGAGCTTGAACAGGCTTCAAGATTGATGTTACAGGCATAAAAAGGAAATATTTTACTGAAGTGCTGAGTATATTCATTGACACAAAAAGTAAATAATGGAATATATATGCATACATGCTTGTGTTGTGACCTATACATTTATTCTAAAATTAATTTTGATACATGGCTCAAGACTAACCATCAGTGGAGCAGATCTTAGCCACGCATGCTGTAGGAGATCTGAAAATGCTCTCATCATGGTGGTCTGACCAGAAAGCCACAATTGACTAGAATCATCCTGCTCATTTTCTTCCGATGCTGAGTTTTCCCAACACTGAGCCATCACTGCTAGTGTTGCAAAGCACTGTTCCACCATCTATCAGACGAAAGTCAGTAATTTCAGATCTCAATATTCCTTCAATTATACATGTGGATGAGTTCATTTTTTAAAATTTCATATTTGGGTGAAGAGCGAGGTTGATTCTACTCATCTAGAACATAAAAGGTGATTTAAGAATTTGTCTCAAGGTACCTCAGTTACAAGAAGGAATCGTATAGTTTAGTCTTATTCCTATCAAAGTAATGACTCTTGAATCCCTGACCATGTGACATGATATCAACAGGACTGGGAGAGACAAGGTTTCATTGAACTAAAGGGCGAGCAAACCAACCTATATAACCTCCATTTAAACTATAAACAATGAATAGGGAACATTATATCTCCATGAAATGCGCACAAAAAATGTTCTGATTTTCATGCCAGTTACCAAAATGGTAATTAGAATCATCAAATGATTCGCTAAAGAATAAAAATACAAGTATGTCAGACACTTAAGAAAATACCAGAGGCCATGGCTCCAGATCTAAAGGCAAGTTCTTTGAAGTTTCTTTAACCAACAGACAAACAATATCTGGAATATGCGGTGAAAGTTTTTCAGTTGCAGCCTCGACCATAGTACTTAGAAGCTGAAAGTAAATGGAGCTATCTTCTTCCTCATCACTAATCCTATGACAAACCACTTGAAGAAGTGGTAACCACTCAGGTGGCATGTACTCATTCTGCAGTACCAAAAGGTCAAGCATTATTTAAACTATCATACTTCAGGTCCATAAAATAGGTTAGCCATACCCACTTACTTCAACGAGTTGGGCAATCGCAGCAGCAGCTGTCACCCGCACAGGATAACAAGAAACATCCCCTATATCTGACATTTGTAATGCTTTCACTAATGAAGAATAAATATCAGCACTCATACCCTGTTGTGGAAAGAGAAAAAAGGAACTTACTCCAAAAATATGCCTAATAGCAAACAAGATGTTAAAAAGTACCATCAAGACAATTATCTCACTTCAGAAAGGCATGAAGCAAGCTCTCCTAGGACCCAATTTGCAGTGGCAATTAAATATGGTTGAGGAGTTGGTGTTTCATACAGTGGTAGCACCCGATTCCTAACTAGAGTATCCGTAAATCCAGGACTCTGCTCTGTTAGAAACTGAGAATACAATGCCACATAAGTAACATAAGTACAGAACTTTTTAATTAAGAAAAATAATATTTGAAATAATGATCTATCCTTACATCTAAAAGGCTGCTATAGGCCATCAGGACTCCGTAATATCTGTGAAAGTTTAGACAAGGAAATGAAAGTAAATCTCGTACACAGGATGCAAGCATGATCAAGGAAGATCAGAAAAAAGAAAAAAAAGTCTGGATAAATGGAAAAATAAAGTAGGATAATTTAGTTAACGGCATGACATTAGAATGAGCACTCTATGTCTTAAGCAAACTTAGAGTTCAAGGAATTATAGAGTAATATAATGTATCTTAGAACTTTAACAGAACAAGTTTAGTGTAGGTTTTTGCACGTGTATCTCGCGTCAATCGGTAAAACTAGATACAAGAGGAACAAAATTATTAAAAAGTAGCAATTGACGTTAAAGTAAACATTATATCTTTCAAAATGATAAGAATTTCATATAGGAAGGTTAAAAAGTTATTTAACTTAACATGAACCTCTTTCTTTAATTTTTTTAATTTATTTATTTATTTTGCTTACCATAATTTAAGTAAATATTTATGTAAGGTAACAGCATTGATTTTAAAGTCTTAAATGTTAGGACATTAATATAGTTCAAATTAGAGATTTAAGAAGCAAAACTTTGATCAATTTTAAAATATTAAATATTTAGGAGTTCTTACCTATTACAAATAAGTAAAGATTTAACAGTTTTTCTTTTAATCAATTTCAAAGTCCTAAATATTGGGATGATAATTAAACGACAATTATTTGAGGAAAATAGTAAATGAAAATTTTGTCTATTGGGAGAGGTGATTAGACTCCCACGACGCTATTTCATATTATCGAGGACATGACTCTAGATAGGAAGGAGTGGAGGTCACGTATTAGGGTAGAAGGTTAATAGAGGTGGTGTGTTGTCGTAACGTGCATAGGTTTAGGCTTGTTTAGTATCTGTCATAAAACTAGTCGTACCCTTGTAGTTCTTGTCATATGTTGTTTATTGTGTTTCGATTATCACATTATTTTGTTGTTGTTGTTATTGTTTCTTTCATGTAGACTTAACACTGATCTTCTTGCTAACGGTTGTGATTTCTTCATTGTTTTCTTCTTTTTTACTTGGGTTTGATGCACTTGAGCCGAGGGTCTTTCGGAAACAACTTTTCTACCTCCACGAGGTAGTTGTAAAGTCTGCGTATACTCTACCCTCCCTAGACTCCACTTACTGGGATTGCACTAGATATGTTGTTGTAGAGTCTTTTAATGAAGGGTAAAAAGTTCAATCAAACCTTCATGCTTTTAAAGTAATATAAATAAATAGCACCAACCATTAATCCTATTGAATTTTAAATGGTGAACTTGCTGTGAAGTACAGTGATATATGACCATAAATTACAAAGTAAAAGGAGTTGATATCATAATTCTGTTTTTAACTCACTCATTTACTGTGTTTTCTCCATTATCGGTTGGAACAGGAAACTTTGACAAGAATGGAAGCACCAACAACTCCCCCATCGAGCTGTAACCTTTTCTTTTGTTCTTTTCTCCTTTCTTACGCTTTGATGAAGCTGTAGAAGTCTTGACTGGCGGTCCCTAGAAGCCCAAGAATAAATCACAGATAACTATGTGAATTTTAATAGAAGAAGCTAGAGCAATATAAATTATAGAAAACTAACCTTAGATAATGAAATAACACCAAGCAAGTTTAAAGCACTTTTCCTTGCTGTAAACAAGTCATCTCTCAATCCAGAAATTTCTTCCTGCAGTATCATAAAGATCAGACAATATCCTGCGAATGTTTAGAGTATACAACTTATAAGGAAGATCAAAGATTAGAACATACAAGGTCAGACGGAAGATTTTTCCTTATGTATTCATCCGGATCTTCTTCCCACTCTACTGTGTCCTACTTAGCAGGCATTTAAGCCTTTAATCAGAACTTCACAAGAGTATGTCACAACAAAAGAAAGAAACTCATGAACATAGGCATAGAGCTCTCTGGAAGGCAAATTCGTGGAATAGCTGACCTTCTCATTCTTCACAAGAGCTGGGAAGATTGCAGAATTAAGCAAGGAAGAAAAGTGAGGTGAAACCAGTCGCCATCCCTGTTTCAGATGATGATGATAATATACTTTAGCTTGGAGACTTGAACAGTAGCAGGCACTAACCATAAAAGTCCTTCCCGATAGAGGAGAAACCAAGGAATTAGTAGAAGTGCCTAAAAAGAGAAAGAAGCTAGGAAGGCGAAAGAACAAGCATGAAAATAAATAAGCATTGCCTGCTCAAGCTACAAAAAAATAGTCAAGCAAAAGAGAAACTTTTGACCATGACAACTGAACAAACTTACCGGACCTGTCTCTAAAACACGAGAAATAACATCAAAGGCTAACGATACAGTCCTTTCTGACAGCGGATCCAGTTTCTGCAACGAAAGAGTAAGTAGATGAAGAGAGAAGATAAAAATAAAAACGATCACAGGAAGAAAGACGAGTATAGTGTGTGGGAAAAGCACTTATGAGAAACAACATAAAAGTTCATGAGACATTCTTGACAGAACAGATATTGAGACGAAAGAATAAGTAGATGAAGAGAGAAGATAAAAATAAAAATTATCATAGGAAGAAAGACGAGTATAGTGTGTGGGAAAAGCACTTATGAGAAACAACATAAAAGTTCATGAGACATTCTTGACAGAACAGATATTGAGACTAAGCATAGATTCTTACTTATACGACACAACTTTAGTGTAGTTAAAGAAAGGAGAATCCGACGGCAGCATGCTGAACAAAAGTATCTATTTACTAGGCATTCCAGTGAAATAAGATTATGGAACACCTGATATGAAAGTTCATATTTATAGAACTACCAAGTAATACTTCTAAGACTTACACTTATGATTGTGCTATGCTTGACAATCTCTGAAACGCATTTCACCATATCAGGCATCAGTCTGTCATTGTAAGATGAGAAGAAATTTAAGGAAAAACCAGGATATCTGTATTTTCATTTTGGAGCAAATAAAATGCATTTTGACAGCATACTTGTCAGCAAACTTCCGGTGCCGGGAGACTAAAGCACAGAAAATCAGCAGACTTCGCTTTGCAGTCTTCATCCGCAGAGAATACCCATCTTTGCAAGTCAAGCCACCATCAAAACTTAAAGAATTCAGGATTCGTATCAGATCTTGACAAATAGAAGGAAGCAGAGGAGCCAAGGCAGACGGCATGTGAGATTTCACCTATAAAATTGATAGACTTTAGATTGTAGTACTGCTCAAAGAAGGTTCACAACAGAAACCTTATTAGAGGAAGAAAGATGCTTCCAGATAAATATTTCTAGGACACATAAAAGGACACATTGGTGTAAGAATTCCTCCTAGTAATTTGAATAGTCTTGAAAAGAAGAAAATAGTGCACTGATAGCTGATCTGACCATCAGATCACTTTAATGGTGCATGTTGTAAACTGTTGCTTCCTTTTTCAAAAAAAGGTTAAATAAAGGAAATGAGACTGTTCCTTGGTAAACCAAGTACCAATGTTTCGAATGAAAGAAGATCTATTGTCCTGGCATAGATTAACATCCATGCTCATCATTCACCTTTTTGGACTAGCAAAAGATCTTGTATGCATAGAGCTATATCAAAATACACTAAGTTACAAGGCTTCAAGATCACATGCAAAACATTGTGAACAAATTACTTTAACTCGTTTACTGATGCCTAGTTCCCATTTTCAGCAGAACTGCTTTTACACGTATAACCAGCTTCCTCTCCTCGATATGCTTGATAACTGTATCAAGCAATTTCCTCCTATCATTTTTGTTATTTTCTATATCCCGAAGGTTTTTAGGATCTGATATATCCAATATGCTGTCTGCTAACTTCTTAACAGAAAAAAATCGAAACAGAACCTAGAGCTCAAATGATAGTTGACCTTTCATGGATCAAACATCATTTGTTGTAAATTTATCCTCACCGCAAAATAGATGCACTTGCATGTGATGAGAAGGATAGTTTCTGTCTGCACTTCTGATGTATGTTGGGCATCTGATACCTGTTTCATGCAACGATGAATTAGCACTTCCATACACTCTAAAGAAACATGTTTTAATATGGAAATACCTAGGAGGAAGAGGAATGTAGAAAATTATGTGGACCTTTTCGGTGCAGAGGTGAAATACAGCAAGTAAGGGTACAAGGATCTCTCTTGTAATAAGTTCTAGCTGTGGTGGAACTGGCTCCTTCACAAGTTTTGGATTCAAAAAGTACTGCCACAAGACATAAGATGAGATCAATATAAGAACCTAAGCAGGTAGATATTAACAACAGATTTGAAATAAATGAGGAATTTGGTTTAGCTAATTTTTCTGTCAAAAATAATTTTAATTTTAACCAGATTATAGAACGCTGTTGGTCTATCTTCATATGGATCAACGAGAAGCCTTCTTGGTCACCCGCCAAATGCTTAAGCTTATTTTCAACAATTAGCAAGCTAGGGGTGGCATTTTTCAGGACACCGTTACAGTCAGCAAGGTTCTAACAAACAAAATACAATTCAACAAAATAAGAAACATAAGGTGCATGAGATTTGAAGTCACTTGAGTAAGTAGATATCAATAGAGGGAAAGTCATCTATATAGGTGGAATCAGAATATAGCTGACACATATTTAAATACCTGGAAGGGTCTAATCAGTGAGTGAAGAATGGTTAGAGCGTTGATGGTTTTCCATTCAGAATTCGGATTCTTATCAATCATATCACTGCGCTGAATGACCGACCTTAGCTCAGGCACAAGCTCAGGCCAAGCATCCTTCTTCACAAACTCAACTGCAATAATTGAGCGAAACTGAAAACAAATAGGAGGAAAGAGAATTAAAAAAACAACCTCATTAATTACACGCAAACGAAGAAAAAGTTATGCCCCAAACACTTACAGCTTCAACTAATATTTTAAGAGTCATAGGTTCGGCATGAAGCAAAGCGCGCACAAATGCATCTCTAAACTCTTTGGTGATTCCTGAATTTGTATCAATGGAATCAACATTTCTTCTAGTGAAGTTCTTGAGATATGTGGCTGCAGCTACTTTCTGACCTCCGTTCTCACCTCCTATGGAAATGAAGATCGAATATAAAGTGTAGAACAGAAATTAACTTAACAGTTTGCAAAATCATAATCAGGTAAATACTCCTTCAATTCGACAGTTGAATAATCACAATGAATCTATAAATACTCGAAAACAGAGAAATCTGAATTGCAGAGTACCTATGGCGATAGAGAGCAGAGTGAAGGGAAATTCTGGGAGAGTAGAGAGGTGATCGAGAGCATCGGTGGCGGCATTGATGACGGCACCGTCGGGGCTCAGAGTTTGATTGAGGAGCTGAGCAATTTGATGAATTTCCATAACGTATAAGTGGTGGCGCAGCGGCAGAACCCTAGCAAAGACTGCAGCTACAAACACTACACAAGTTGGCAAAGAGTTGTAAAAAGAAACAAATAGTTGGCTAAAACAGTTGAAAGCGCGGGAAAATTGATATTCGCGCCGTCCATTTTTTGTCATCGCCAGTATAAATGGCATTATTCTTTCTATTTATTAACTTTGAAAATATGAAATTGTATAATTTATTTATGTTCATTGGTTAATATAATTAATCAAAATAAATTAATTTATATTCATTTATTATTGAAGACTTACTTCAAAAGATCAATACTCCCTCGATTCCTTTTTATATGGCACCTTTTAAAATTTCACTTGTATTAAGAAACTAAATAAATTTATAATTATAACATTATTTAATGTTTTTTAAGTTAACTTTCAATAAATGATAAATAAGGAATATCTTTATTTTTAATTTGTTTGTTGAGATTTCTTTTTCAAAATCTTATAAAATAATGCAATGGTGAGAGTAACTAATCAATGTATAAAGTAATTACAATGAACAATAATTATTTATTAATTTTTCTAGGTTGGTCAAATATTTATTTCAAAACTAATTAACTATCAAGGGTATAATAAGAAGAATATTGTAATTTATGCATTGATTTTATAAAATGACAAGTATTATGAACCAACTATTTATAGTAAGGAACTAAGGATGACCATAAAAAGGAACCGAGGCAACAATAATAGTAAACTTACATAATATTTTAAGGGACATAAAATCTAAAATAGTGATATATAAATAGGAATGGAGGCAGTAATAAATAATTTCAAATATATGTTTTGTAAGAGGATGAGTGATCCTAGTGGAGGTAATGTAAAATCTGTGCGTCTATATTAACACGCAACAAATTGGTGTGAAATTGGAAGATTAAAAATATAAAAGACTAATTATGCTAAGTAATATTATTTATATATATATAGTCCTTCGGTACATTCGTTGCACGTATATTCCGAGTAACATGGTATCTATTTTTATAAAATAATAACAATATTATTAAATCAAAATTTTGAGTAAAAAATTATGTGTTTCAGCCCTTATCAGTAAATAGTAAACTGATCAATTGCAAATTAACAAATGAGCAAATCATAAAGCAAGAATACATCTTCCATCCCACTGTAAATGTTACTAATAAATTTTAGTCAATTCCTTTGTTTTATTTTTCTCCATGAGCACATTAAGGGTCTGTTTGGAAAGTCACTTGGTAATTGAAATTAGTGTAATTATTAAGATAGTAATTATCAGTATAGTAATTATATTGTTCTGTTTGTTTGTCACAATGTAATAATAGTGTAATTACAAGTGTACTGTTTGATTGCACAAATACAATCATAATATTATATTATAATATAACAATAAAAATTAATTATTTAAAACAAAAAAAAGTACTAGACAAATAAGGGCCTTTATAAATGATATTGAATTAAATATTTAGGATATATATTGTCTTTTGAAAATATATTAATTAATGAACATATGTTCTTAATTAATATTATAAAAAATACTTGATTTATACTTTTCAAATAAGTATATTTTTATTAAACTAATCAAAAAACCTAAAGGCAAAATGGTCTAATGGACTTTTATACTTGTATGAGTTTGTATTCTGAATTCTTTTACTTAACTCTTTGTCAATTGAACCTTTAAACTCAATTAAAATGAGACTTTTAAATACAGACCTCACTTAGAAGATTAGTGATCAATCGAATTCAAAGGTGAGCCAGTTCGTCCGGGCTGCCATGAGTTATCTTTTTGTTTATGTCCACATCTTCGGACTTAGACTAGTACTTTAGATTTTCGTATGTTTAATTGGGTTGTACCCATATCCTTAGACTTATGATCCTTGTTAGAGTTTTAGTATATTGACTTTCAGGTTATATGCGTTATTCCGCAATTGTTTTTATTAGACTTTTGGAGTGTATGGGAACTCTATTTTTCCTTTAGCATTTAAACCTGCTTTTGTATCTTTAAATGTCTTAGTTTTGGTTGAGTTTGTTAGTTTGGGTTGTAGTAATGATTCTCCCACCGGAGGGTTAGTGTGTGTGTCAATCACGACGGTCTGGATCGTGACAACCACAATATTCAAAAGTTTTCTTTACTTTTACAATTACATCCCCTTTTTAGCTCGATACTTTTGTAGAAGGCTTGTCTCAACAAAACATTGTTGGCATTACTACATAAAATTAAATTTACGTACTATCATTAGATTTTTAAAAAAATATTTCATAACTTGTATTAAGTTACAGTTACATAAAAGAAGAATTTCAAATAATGTGTTTCCTAAAATGTAAGAATTTCTATAATTCAATCAAGACAAAACCAATGAAGTTATCATGTTATAATTAAATTATGAGTCAAAGGAATTTAAAATATCAAAATATTACAAGGTATAAGATAAGTTAATATGGAGATAACAAATTACGAGAAGTTAATATGGATAACCAATTAAGAGAAGTTAGCATGGATAACCAATTATGTGCAAACAAATGATGCCAAGATTTTGTTTTTGGTAGGTTTGATTTAACTATGACTTGTGAACAAATATAAAGTAAATCAATGTTTATGAAATGTTATTTACAAGATTTCCATAGACTACAAATTAAATACATATAAAAATTAAATTAATTATTTTGAACTAAAAATTTAAATAGTCAATCTAAAAATATAATTAAGAAATAATGGCTTATTTATTAAATCTAATTAAAAGAACACATACAAAAAAAAATTTGTAAATTTTCATTTCTCTTTAAACAACTTAAAACAATACTTCACCAAAAACATGATTATTTTTTTGTTATTTTCGAATCTTTTAATATAAAGTTAATAAAATAAGGTAAAAGTCAAAATATTAATTTAGATTTTTATAAAATATTTAAGCTCTAAAAATGGTGTAAAACTTAAGTTCGGTTAAAAATTACGTGTGCCACTCTTTGACTAGAAACACGAAGAGTTTTCAGACAAAGAAGTAGACAACGAGACAAGTTTTGACCGGACTCTTATTTGAAAGGAAAAAATGTGACCGAGTCCTTCTTTTGGACAACCTACATATCCCGGGTTATAAGGGAAGCAAGTCATGTGTAGTTCAAGAAGATGAACTGATGAGTTGGAAGTTAAGTGAGGTTCCATCGAGGTTCCAGTTCGCGGATCCTATCCTTACATAAAAAATGAAAGCTAATTATCACAAAGAAAATAAAAGTACAAGATCCTATTTATGCAGCTTCTCTTGAGTCTTCAGTTGAGTCTCAACTTTCAGATATCACTTTGATTTTTGATGAGTATCTTGATCTTGAATTAAATTTGAGGTTTAACTTGCCACTTAGAGTGAGCTTTTGATACTCTTAAAAATGACAATTTAAAATTTTTCTTAAATGCATGCATGTTTCCTTGATCAATAACTGAATGAAGAAGATGTCAGGAGGTCAGGCTGCTAGATGCATTGAAGAAGTTGATTTTAGCTATCATGAGGGAATGAACATTCTAAAAAGAGTAGAAACTTTGTTCCCGAATTTCAAATTCATGCTTTGCTTGAAGAAGTCTGCAAATCATCACAAACAAAAGAAATAAACAATTTTTTACCCCGGTTGTCTTATTTTAGGCTGGTTGTGTGCTTCTACCCCGTGTGCTTCAGGTAATGGAGCACTTCCAGTGGAACGAGCTTCATGATTTCTCATTAAAAGGCCATTATATTGCTCAACCACTAGAAGGCATGAGATCAATTCAGAGTATTTTTGAAAACCCTTTTCGCGGTAATGTTGCTGCAATATCATTTTAGAGGCATGGAAAGTAGTTAATGTCTTTTCCAACATGTCCTCATCTTTTATAGTTTCCCCGCATAATTTCAACTGGGAAGTGATTCTAAATATAGTAGGGTTATACTCAATTACGATTTTATAATCTTGAAACCCTAAGTGCATCCACTCATAACGTACCCTTGGCAATATCGTTGCCTTGAGGTGATCATACCTCCCTTTCAAACCTATCCACAATTCAAGTGGATCTTTTACCGTCAAGTGTTCAACCTTCAGGTTTTCATCAAGATGATGACAAAGGAAAATCATAGCCTTCGCTTTATCTTGACTTGATGCCTTATTCCCTTCAATTATACTATCACCAAGACCCTTAGCGGTGAGGTTGTCACGACCCAACATACCGGGCCGTGCGGGCAACTACATACTACCACCTAAATAGGAGAACCCTCATATCCCAATAGTCAAAACATGCGGAAAATTAGATAAAACAGAGATAAATATATAACGGGATTTTATAAATAATATTTTAAAAACAATTTCAGGTTAAGACTTGTAAAGTAATTAACACCTCCAAAGATCTAGTCTAAGCAAGTGAGTACAAACTGGAGATAATAATAAATGACACAACTCCCACCATGCAGAACGAAAAATAGAAGCTGCTTGAGATTTCTTCATCTTCACCTAATGCAACATCACCGATCCTGCATCCAGACTATGCCAAAGGGCATAGCAAGAGTAGTATTAGTACAAAACCACACGTACTGGTAGGCATCATGGGTCAATCCGACACCCACCGCATAATATAAGAACTCAACTAGTGAGAAGATGCAATAAACCACTCGCTTCTCCACCTTTACCCTCTCTCGAATACCTCAACTTACACTAGTACCCTTACTACTAACCACCTCCTCATTCAAACTAGTTACTAGGTTCTTAATCATAGCCTAACCATTCTAACACATAGAAGAGACCACGAATACAACTACAAGCATTCCGACTAACCACCCACGACAAACCCTTACTTCCTCCTTTATATTACCCAGCCCTTGCCACATGCTACATTATATCAAGCTTTCTAAGTACTAACCACGAACCCCCTTTCTCCAAGGTGAACTCCACCTAAGTATTTACATCACGTACACTGCCTCTTCTTCTCACCCTTGTAACATACGGATAGCCCTTGTCTCTCAACATTTATACTCATGCTCTTTACTGTCTTACTTCATTACTTACTTAACTACGATTGCATGACGATAAATGATTGATTAGAATAGCCTTGGGGTAGTTTTCAAAATTGTGAAAATAGGTTGCTTGATTTGCTAGAAAAACATAGCATGGATACTTT